TGGTCTGTGAGCTCATCCTGGGCTGGCTCTCCTCCTGCCCAGAGGACTTGGACGTGAGAAGGGGTTTCCTCCTTCCATTCTCTGACCCCCCTGTACTCTCAGCCATGGGGCCCCAGAGGAGGGGCGAGGTGTTTTTCTCTCAGGCAGCCCCTGACCCCCCTTTTCTACACAGAGCACCTCCTCTGAATTTGAAGTGGTCCCTGCCGAGGGGCATTCTTCACCAGAGAGCGGTGGCCACACCAGAAATACCATGGTGAGTGGACGGCAGGTCCCTGGGCATATCCCCCGTCTCCTCTCTGTTTCAGTCACCTGGCCCCGCGTGAGAGGCACAGGACCCGCTTATATCCCCTGGGCACCCCGGAGTCACTAGGGATACGCTTGAGGGGCCAGCACCAGGGGGTGCTTCTCGCTCACACATGCAAATCCGTGGCTGGTGACTTCCCTGTGAGCCACACAAGCACCCGACCATTGTGAAAGCCTGGGCACATTGCCAGCCCCGCTGGCCTCCGCCAAGTGCCGGGCACCTCCGCAGGCTCTGACTCAGCCTTTGGGCCTGTGGGCTCGTAGCCTGGGTAGAGTAGAAAGGGTCAGAGAAACCCAGAGCAGCTTGAGGCAGATGTGGCCCTTCTGTGCAGGCTCTTGGCTGTTCCCAGGCTCCTCTTTGGGGCATGCAGGTAGGAGGTTAAACCTTGCACTTACACATACACACACGCACGCATGCACGCGCTCACACACACACACTCCCCTCCAGCTCTGGAGTGTCCACCTGGCATCCTCATTCTCTACTTTACCCTACTTGCTGCCTTTATTCCAACTATGTTGTCCTGTTCTCTCTTAAAATAGCAGACTTATTGGAGAACCACTGAGAAATGTGTGGAACGTTGTTCAAAAGTCAAGTCCTGCCCTCTCCTCATCCTTCCTCACTTTGAGATTTTTTGATTGTTATACAGGCAATAAGTGGTATAACTCTTCCCTGATACCTTGGTCTCCACTGCCTCATTCTACCAAGGATTTGGGGCACAAATGTTTCTCTTTATGTGTGAAGTGAATGGCTTTGGGAAGTGGTAACTGGGACGTGGAGGGAAGTGAGACAGGAAACTGCTGGTTTCCATTACAAACCTTGTAAAACAGTTTGACTTTTTAAGCTACAAATAGTTGATTAAAATGTTAAAATTTTAAGTTAAAAGCCAAAAAATTAGTGAAAATATAATTAAATTAAAAATATTGAATTAACAAGGCAAAAAAAAAATGTTGCTCTTTAGTTCACTGACTGCATCTTGTGTCTGTCAGTCCCCAGTGCAAGGTCCTCATCAAGTTGTCATGCAGCTCACACTAGCATGCCTTCAGTGATGAGGGGCTGCTCTGAGTATCAGAAACGTTCTGTGTTTTGTCCCCTGGGAACTTCTGTCCCCTTGTCCTGTTCTATCCCCACGGGCTCTGAGAAGCTGGCCAAGGAGGCAAGACCCGCCCTGCTCAGAAAGCATTTCACTCTGTGACCTCAGACTTCACCTCGTTAATAGGTTCCTCCTTAGCCCCACCATGTGCCTAGTCTGTGCTGAGCAAAGACAAGACAGCCTCCCTGCTTTCTCGGCGCTTGTAGGCCAGTCGGAGAAGTCAGGGTGATGAAACAATTCACCAGCCTTTGATAGAGCACCGTTCGCCACCTCATATCCTGTGTGGGAAGAGGCAGTGGGGGAATGAAGGCAGAACTGAAGAAGCAGCTGCATCTGATAGAATAAGGTGCTAAGAGTATTACGGAGGCATTCACTGGATGGCACGCGGTGGCTGTCAGGGTGTTTCCACTGCTGCAGAGTTCAGATGAGGGAAGTGGCCATAGATGGAGAGTCAGGAAGCCCACGTTCCAGTCCTGGCTCTGCCACTGGCTCACTGGGCAACTTTGAGCAGCCTCCTTCTCCCCGAAGCTTCGTTTCCAAACCGGAACCCTGAGGCTCCCTGTAGCTCTGATGGCCTGTGACTGCCATAAGTGGTAGGGGAGGCCTGCTAGAGCAGCTGAAACACGGGGGCGCTGGGAAGGATGAACAGAGGGGACACCACAGGAATGAAGCCCGAAGAGGCGTGGGGCCTGATGGGTGGGGTCTCAGGCAGGGGAAGAGGGGGGCTCGGACGCCTGGCAGGGGCTTGGTGCAGTCAGCTGTCAGCTACCCCTGTGGGTCCTTGGACGTGGTGTTGGCATAGCTAAGGCATTGTCTTTGCCAAGAGTGTTCTAGACAGAGGAAAGAGAGAGAAAGAGAGAGACAGGGAGTGATAGATTCTGAGATTGGACTATATTGCCCATGGTTTGCTTCCTATCTCACATCTCTGCTAGATTGGGATTCTTTGAACTATCTATGATTCCTAACGTGTTTTGAGTCTTGGGTCCTCTGAAAAGTTGATGAATGCTTGGACCACTCCCAAGAAGACACATGTATAGACATAATAGTCAGACAGTTTTGGTGTCTGCTGGGCAAGCCTTCCTAAGCTGAAGAGGCAGTGCTGGGTATTGAGTGATACCCCTTTCCTGGGCTTGCTGCTTTCATGTGTCATTTCACTTGCATAAGAACCCTATGGGGTAGAAGAGAAGAAAAGGGATGTGTACGTGTAGTAGATGAGGATTCTGAGGCCCTGTGGACGAGTGATTTACCCACAGGCACTCAGCAAGGCCCAACGTGTGGGAGGAAGGTGGCTCCAGCACTGGTAAGCCAGCCAGTGGCCTGGGAGTCCCGGGTCCTGCCCTGTGAGTCAGCCCCAGACAGGGAACCTGCATAACTGGAGAATGTCCCTCAGCTGAGCTGGGATCAGAGGGGGAAACTGAGTCATGAGGCATGGGGAAGCAGAGGGAGAAAGGCTGGTGGCACCTACGCAGACTTTGGTGAAGAGCGGGCCGCATCCCCTCCCCACTGATGCTGCACCTGCAGCGCCTGGAGACCACCCTGAGCGTGTGCGCCGAGGAGCCTGACCACAGCCAGCTCTTCACGCACCTGGGCCGCATGGCCCTCGAGTTCAACCGGCTGGCTTCCAAGGTGCACAAGAATGAGCAGCGCACCTCCATCCTGCAGGTGAGGCCGGGCCCAGGGAAGGTGGCCTGGGGTCTGCCATGTGGTTCCCCCTCTGCTTCCTCCAGCTCTTCTGGGGAGTCCAGGGTACCACGGGGACTTCCGAGGGTGAGGATGGGGACCCGACTTGGGCTTCTTGTTCAAGGCAGTGAGCAGGGTAAGGAAGTTGTGAGAAGGGCTGAGGAAGAGGCAGGAAACCGGGAAATAATGGTGTGGGTGATGCAGATTTCATGGTTGGGGTTACTCTTGAGGCTGGGGATGTGGTAGGTTGGCAGCAGCCTTGCCTTTGTTCTTCACATACAGGTGGGGAAAGGGAGGGGACAGAGGCCGGCCCCTTGTATGTTACTGTCCCTGCCCCCTGAGCCAGGACCATCATTATCCACACTTCACAGGTGGGGCCACAGCCCTTGAGAGGTGATTTTTTTTTTTTTTTTTGCCTAAGGCCCCCCAGTTAGTAGATGGTGCAGCTGGGATTTGAACCTCAGTCTGTCAGATTCCAAAGTCCATGCTCTTAACTCCCATCCCACCCTGCCTCCCCAATGGAGGAGGCTTCCTTTTATAACTCTTCCTGTGCTGTGGGAATGAAGTCAGATTTCCTTCCTAGGCCAGGCCAGGCCTTGGAACCGTATGGTCCTTGGCCAGTAGACTCTTTATTGCTCTCTGACCTTGGGCAAGTGACTTATCCTCTCGGTCCCTCACTGTCCCCATTCGTAACATGGGGCTGGAAATGCCTCCCTTGTGGAATTGCTCTGAGTATTAAATGAAGCCCCTTGTACAGTCTAGAACATAGTAAGTGCTCAAAAAGTGGTCACTGTTAAGATTTTATGGTGATGGCTCATCCACACTGGGTAGGGGATCTGAGCCTTGAGGGCTTGGGGGTAGGGAAGGATTCACAGATGGTGAAACTGAGGCTCCGAGAAAACCTGCTCAGGACCTGAGTATCTGTCACCTTAGTGACAGAGCTGTAACTCCAAGCCTTCCTCCTTCCTAGGCCCTCCTCTGGGCCAGTCACTGCCCTGTTGTCTCACTCATGTCAGCAAACATTCAAGTGCCCAGTTGACGGATGAGCTGCTGGGGTGTCCACTGTGTGCAGCTTTGGGAAGGGCCTGGGTTGACAAAAGCAGGAGGGGCGTCCAGGCTGGAGACAGGTGTGAGGAGAGATGGGGGGAGCAGAGGATTCCCACCCCCACCTTGGGTGAGGGGCCACACTGGGAGGCTGGAGGAGTGATTGGAGCCTGGAGGGCCAGGCCGAGGGAGACTGCTTTCAGATGTCAGCAAGGCCCAGAGATGTCAAGTGTCAAGGCTGAGCCACTGGGGAGACGAACCTGGTGCGTTGCTTGTGGTGGGATCACTTTGAGTGTCAGCTTTTCAGCTTTGTTGTTGTTGTTGTTTTAAATTAATTAATTAATTTTTGGCTGCGTTGGGTCTTCGTTGCTGCGTGCGGGCTTTTCTCTGGTTGCAGAGAGCAGGGGTTACTCTTCGTTGCAGTGGTTTCTCTTGTTGCGGAGCACAGGCTCTAGGTGTGTGCGCGTGGACTTCAGTAGTTGTGGCTCGCGGGCTCTAGAGCCCAGGCTCAGTAGTTGTGGCGCACGGGCTTAGTTGCTCCGCGGCATGTGGGATCTTCCCGGACCAGGGCTCAAACCCGTGTCCCCTGCATTGGTAGGCGGATTCTTAACCACTGCGCCACCAGGGGAGTCCCAACTTTTCAGCTTTGAAATAAGGATTGATACTGGGCCTCATAAAAGGGGTCCTGCCAACCTTGCTATTTAAAAAAAAAAATTATTTTTATTGACGTATAGTTGATTTACAATGTTGTGTTAGTTTTAGGTATGCAGCACAGTGATTCAGTTTTATATATAAATACATAAACACACATACACAAATATTCTTTTTCAGATTTTGTTGTTGTTGGGCTGTGCTGCGCGGTGTGCGGGATCTTAGTTCTCTGACCAGGGATTGAACCCGTGCCCCCTGCAGTGGAAGCACGGAGTCTTAACCACTGAACCACCAGGGAAGTGCCCCCCACTGTTATTTTTTATCAGGCTCTTGTTTGTTTCCTTCTTAACTCTTATCATAGTTTGTAATAATTTTATTAATTGGTTTCTTTACTTTGTGTTTGGTTTTTTCCCTTGTGTTCCCTGTTAGAATGTAGGCCTCACAAGAGGGGCAGGTACCTTGTCGGTCATATTCACCACTGCATCCCAGTGTCTGGCACTTCATAGGTGCTGAGTGTACATTTGGTGAATGAACAAATGAATGAATGAACTCACACATGAGCTCTATTAACCCCTTTGATGGAAGGTGATGACTTTTGTGACGACCTCTCTCCGTCTGCTTTGTGCCCAGGGCGTTTGCCTCTTGCGTAGAAGGACAGCACATGAGGCCTTGTCCTGGTCTTCCCTTAGAGACCACAGCAGGACGTTCTGTTCCCTGGAGGCCCCACTCAGGGCTGTTGCATCCTGGGTATTTGCCCAGCCTGTGGGTGGAGGTAGATTAATCTGGTTCCTCCTCATTCATTCACTGATTTGTTTCTCGGTTCACTCAGCATTTCCAAGGCCAGGTATAGCATGAGGCCTCTGCTGGGCATTGCAGCCAGTCATAATGGTTTTCTGTTCCTCCATGTCTGACCACTCACCAGTTCCAGGCTGTGTTCTCCATCCAGCCTTCTCAAGTCTTTCCTGGGTTAGTCAGAAAGGGCTCGGTTTTACTGTGGAAACAAACAACTCTGAAATCTCCCTGGATAACATGAAAGTTTTCCCTCATATTCTGTGTGGCAGGGGCTTGTTTCTGCTCCACAGTCACATTGAGGCCCCAGCCGTCTTGTGCCCTTTGGCAGCCATAGGGAAGAAGAGACCAGAGAATTGTGCGTGAGCCAGCTCAGAAGTGGCACTTGTCACTACCACTCACCTTTCATTGGCCAGAACTGGTCACATGGTCACAGCACGTCTGGGAAATGGACATGGAAGGGAGCAGGTAGAAGGTCTGGTGAATATCGCTCACTGTCTCTGCCCTCAGCCCAGCTCACAGCCTGCCACCTCCCTTCTCTGCTCTTTCATCACAGGCGAAAGAGGTACCATTTAGGATCTGCCAGATGGAGTTTAATCCCCTTGGTGATTCCCAAGAGCTGTACAACCTCATGCACATTATTTCACCTGCAGTAGCCTACATTTTTTTTTTTTTTTTTGGCCCCACCGTGCAACTTGCGGGGTCTTAGTTCCCTGATGGAGGACTGAACCTGGGGCCTCGGCAGTGGAGGCATCGAGTCCTAACCACTGGCCTGCTAGGGAATTCCCTAGCCTACATTTAAAATAGAGATGAGTTACGTAGCTGTGGTGAAGCTGTGAGGCTCCACCGAGGTGGTGAGTGGAAGAACACCTGGCCATTTACGGGTCATGGGTTAGGTGCTCCCTAGGTATTTGTTGAGAGATTGAGTCGCTTAGTACTGACCTGGTGCATCACCCTTACTAGTGAGAACCTCCCTTCCCTCCATCTGTGAGGCCCTGAGATTGGCTTCCCATTTTCCATGCCCCCTTCACCTTGCAGCACTTCAAACACATGTCCTCAAAGGTTATCAAGCGCCTGGCAGCTCACGAGGCACTTGCACTCTCCCGGTCTCATTTGTCCTTATAGCAGCCCTATAAAGGAGGCAGGGGAGGAGCAGTTGCCCCACTTTGTAGGTGGGGGAACTAACTGTGTCTCAGAAGTGAGGAAATCCTGAGCCACACTGGGAATTGGTGAGGTCTTGACCCAATATCCTGTCTTCTGACTTGCCGGCTGACAATCTTGCTCCCTGGCTGCCTTGAGTACTCTCCAGATCGCCTAAGCTCTAGGCCTACTACGACTCAGGTCCTTTCAGCCAATCAGTGCTGCTTTCCTTCAACCAAGTGTCGAGCTGCGCTGGGCCCTGGGCTGAGGATCCCGCAGTGGACAAGAGAGCGGCAAGAGGATCCTAGCCGTCTGGGAATTCATGGACTAGTGGGGTCGGGGGGGACATTAAGAAAGTAACGACACTGATGGTTCTTTAGCTGTAATTGTCACAGGTACCAGGAAGGTTGAGAGCAGGGGATTGTGAGTGAGGATAATGGAGGTGACCTAACTCACCTGAGATGTGGGAGTCAGGGAGGACTTCTTGGAGGAGGTGACGTTTAGGCTAAGACTTGAAGCAGGAGTAGAAGTCAGCCAGGGGAAGGCTGGTGGGGAAGAGCATTCTAGGCTGTAGGAACAGCAGTGAAGGAGGAGGAGGGATGGTGCTCTCTGCCTTGGAGGAACAGAAGGCGCTCTGGCTGATTCTTGGTCCGGTGTCCTCATGGCTGGCTTCTGAGGGAGAGGATGCAGAGAGGAGCCTGGGTGAGCCTTGTGGCTTGGCTCCTGCTGTCCCAAGAGGGCTTGGGTGAGGCCACTGCAAAGGGGATACCGTGTCAGGACCTGGCGTGGCTATAGTGCCCCTCCCGCCCCCAGCATCAACCTGTATTTGGGGTGCACCCCTTCCCTTCCCTTGCCCGCATCTCCCTCTCTGCCCTGCAGACCCTGTGTGAGCAGCTTCGGAAGGAGAATGAGGCCCTGAAGGCCAAGCTGGACAAGGGCCTGGAACAGCGGGATCAGGCTGCTGAGAGGCTCCGGTAAGTCCAGGCTCCTCAGAGGAGGGAGGGGTGAGGAGTCGGATGGGCAGGAGGAAGACGGTGGTGCATGGCACTGATTTCCGGGCTGAGTGCTCTGAGGCCTGTGCCCAGAGCCCTGCTTTGGATGTCAGGTCTCTTGGTCATTCTCCTTGGGTGTTTCCTCTCTGGTCTTTTTAATACCTTGGGGAGTGTTTGTGTATAAAGTGCCTTGAGAGCTTCAGAAGAGGGTCTGTACAAAGTGCACTTCCTCCTTGGGAACTTACCCCCTCTGCCTGTTAACAGCAGCTAGCTGGCTGTTGGACAGAGGGCTCTGGACTTTGCTGCCCCCTGCTGGTCACCATCCTGACCTGCTCTGTTTCCTGAGAACCGTCGGGGGTTGCTCACCTGGGCTACTACTGGGTCTCAGACTTAACTGTGCATCAGAATCACTGAGGGTCAGGAAAGGCATTGCAAGTTTACACTGCCACGCCTCTCTCCTGTGCTGAGATTCTGATTCATTGGGTCTGGGGTGAGACCTAGGCATCTGCATTTTCCAGTAGGCCTCTGTGATTACGATGTAGGTAGACCCAGGATCACACCTGAGAGGCACTGATCTTGACTGTCAGAGCTCGAAGGGCCCTTTGAGATCATGTGGGCCAAACCCCTCACCCTGCAGAGGGAAACTGAGGTCCAGGGAGAGGCCTGTGAGGCCCAGAGGGAGTCAGGTGTGACTACTGATCCACTGTGCCATTTTGGATCAGCATATATATTTATTGACTTCTGGATGGCTAAGCAGTTGGAGTTTTATAGCCATAAGGACTCCATCCATGTATCCAAAAACCCAGGCTGGAGGGAAGAGCCGTGATTAGAAGGTGAGGATGCAAGTCCCCACTGTGTGACCTTGGGAAAGCCAGTTTACTTCTCGGTTTTCCTATTATCACATGGAAACCAGCTGGCAAATAGAATACAAAGAAATAGTTTCCATATATTTCAGTCATACCTGAGTCCACATCACCATTTTTCTTATGTCCTGTATCACCTACCTTATTATTTACTTAAGAATTTAATTTGCATCATGTTTTTGCTTAAGATTATTATAATGAAAACTTGCACTAGAGTAACTGGATAACAGCATGACCTGGAATAAATAGAAGATACCTCCAATAATGAACACAACAAAAACGGAAGGATGTTAATTAGTTTTGGCGAATTGCCCGCTCAAGGCTCTGAGGCTGAAGGCTGCTCTTTCTCTGTTAACACGGGAGACTAGCAAGCACTAGAGAGGCGCTCAGGACCTATCAGCACCAAACTGAGACTTTCCCCATGCTCCGCACAGGACGTCTGAGGATAATTGGAAAGGGTGGAATTTTCTCAGAGAGTGTGATCCAGGGTTCTTTAATGCAGTGTGGATGTATCCTGAAGATCTCATGTATACACATGTCTCACAGTTGGGGAAACCCTGTTGGTGAGCATCAGAGACTTCTAGGGAAGCCGAGCAAAGTGGCGTAAGGATGCCCTTTGTGGTTGCACCTGAGGGCAGGTCTCAGGGACTCGCCTTACTCCCCACGTCTCAGCTGCAACTCAGGTGAGTAGCAGGTCTGAGGTCCCCAGGATCCTCGACCCAGGGCCAGCAATATGACCTCTCTCTTTGCCTCCAACCAGGGAGGAAAACCTGGAGCTCAGGAAGTTGTTGATGAGCAGCGGCAAAGATGGTGCCTCCAGATGGCCAGGCTCACCAAAGATGGAAGGCACGGGCAAGAAGGGGGCAGCCGCACAGCAGCAGGTATGTGGTCAGAAACTCCTTCCCCAGCGCTGGTGAAAGCCCCTGAAGGGACTCTGTTAAGCTCCTGCCTGGGAGCCACTGACATACAGAGAAGAGGGTGTGGGCTGACTCAGCAAGGCCTGCTAATGCCCTGGGCTGGCCCACCTGCCCGCTTCCCACCACAGCTCCCAGCGCTGGCTCACATCCAGCTCCCAGCTAGGAGCTGGCTGGCCCCTTGCCTGGTCTGTGCTGTGCTGCAGAGCTGAGTCCCAACTTTTTACTGACATGTTTTTCCTCTTTAATGGGGTTTAATGGCTCTACAGCAGGACTCAATGTCTTTAACAAACCCCACACTTGTGTAATAGTAATAATTATCCTAATAACTTAACTCCTTATTACTATGTGGCAATGTTGAGTTTACCTGGGATTTGCAAACTCATTATGTGATTTGGACGTCCTCTCTACATGTCAGGGAGGCAGGGCTGGGACTCTTACTCCGTGAGACAGCTATGGCAGGAGGTTTGGAGAGGTCTTGTGACATCACATCATCTAGATTCCTGCATCCACCTGCTATTAGGCAGATGTGGGGTGTGAGAGGGCAACATGCCAGTGAATGGCCTTCTGAATCCCAGCCCAGGAAGCCCCTCTCTGCTTCCGTTTACCCCTCAAGTCAGAGCCTGCCTTGTCTGCCCTCTTGAGGAAGTGACCTGTGGACTCTTCTGATCTCCCCTGGGTTCTCGGAAGTGTGTGGGCAGGACTCTTGACTTTTCCAAAGCCCTTAACATCATTGACTTCTCGAAAGGCCAGATGCCCTTATTGCCCTGCCGGGGAGGAAGGTCCCGTAGGAGGTGTGCGTTCTGGGCAGTGGTGAAGCCTGTGCCCTGGAGTTGGTTGTGGGTTGAATGCTGACTCTACCTCTGGTCAGTGCTGCCACCTTGGACAAGTTGCATAACCTCTCTGACCTCAGTTTCCTCCTCTGTGAAATGGAGATAATGACACCTACCTCAGAAGGTCGTTGGAGGATTCAGTGATGTGATGCCTGTACAGTAGGTTTAGCACTTGGCACGTGGTAAACAGTGAACATTGGCTATTGCTCTTAGTGGCAGATTTGATGCCTCTCTTCTCTGTGGAGGTTAAGGGTGCACGCAGGAGCACGGCAGCCCCCTTCCTCCTTCCCCAGTAAGGGCAGGCCCATCTCTCACTTTTCCTAAAGGAGGTGAGACCGTCCCTGGAGGGCTCCCCCAGCCTTCTCCCCTTACTCCCCGGGCTCTATGGTGTACTTACAGACCTTAGCCTGTAGGGGCGCTTGAGCCTCACAAGTTCACTCAGCACCGTGCCCGCCCCCACCCACCGCCCCCACCAGCCACAGGGGAGTGTGGACGGAAATGGGAAGGCAAGGAACAAAGAGAATGTGGGCAACGACTCCAGGACAAATGCTGTCGGACCCACAGGATGTCAGAGGCTGGGGCCCATCCTGTTTGATCTGTTTGTACCGAGGCCCAGAAAGTGTGTGGGTCTTGGCCTATATCAAGCAGGGCCTTGGAGATAGAGCTGGTGTTCAATTTCTGAATTGCTAGCATCATGCGGCACGTGGGATCCTAGTTACCCGACCAGGGATCGAACCCGCACCCCCTGCAGTGGAAGCGCAGAGTCCTAACCACTGGACTGCCAGGGACTTGCCAACACTTCCTATGTATAAAAAAAAATTTTTTTTAACTTTTTATTTTGAGATAATTTTAGACTTACAGAAGAGTAGCAAAATAGTCCAGAGAGTGCCCATCTCCCCATCGCCTTAACATCTCACCTAACCGTGGTTCAGTGATCAAAACCAGGAAATGAACATTGGCACAGTACTATTAACTAAACTACAGTCTTTGTTCAGATTTCACCAGTTTTTCACTCATGTCCTTTTTCTATACCAGGATCGAATCCAGGATCCCACATTGCATTTATCAACAGTTGTCCTGTCTCCTTAGTTTCCTCTGTCTGTGACAGCGCCCAGTGGTTCTTTCATGAGCTTGAGGCTTTTGAGTTATACGGGCCAGTTATTTTGTAGAATGTCCCTCAACTTGGGTTCCTCTGATGTTTTCTTATGATTAGACTGATGTTATGGATTTGGACAAGAAGATCACTGGAGTGACATCTTGCATCATGTCAAGGGTACATGATATCGATGTGTCTATTTACATTCAATCTTGATCATTTGGCTAAAGGGGTGTCTGTCAGCTTTCTCCATAATAAAGGGACTAATTTTCCCTTTGTAGTTAATAAATATTTACTTTTGAGGAGACACTTTGAGACTGCAGATGTCCTGTTTCTCCTTATACTAATTTTAGTATCCACTGGCGGATCTCACTTGCAGTGATTATTAATATAGTCTTCTAATGGTGATTTTGTGCTTCCCTCATTTCTTCTCTATTTACTAATTGGAATTTTTCTTCTCCCCCATCTATTTATTCATTTATTTTTTTCTATTAATAGGGACTCAAGGATATTTATTTTATTCTTTGGCTTATAATCCAACACTATTGCAATTTGTTTTCTTGTTCATATTGTTCCAGCTTTGGTCATAGGAAGCTGTTTCAAGTTGTCTCCTATGCCCATTTGATATGCCCTTCTTCTTATTGTTATTATTATGACTGAGCACTTCCTTCCTTTCCGGCACCACAAGTGGCTCCATAATCACCTTATATTTTCCCTGCCCCAGGCCTGAAATTAACCACTTCTCCAAGGAGTCCTGTTTCTTTTTGTTAGAGAATGGTATTTAGAAACCAAGATCTGTGCTCATTGCTATTGGAGTGACACTGCTTTAGGCCCTCTCAGAGCTAGGAAATACATGTACTAATCACACATGCACACAGATCTTTATTTGTGTATCTTTTTAAAAACATTTTTAAAATAAACATTTTATAAAATGTTAAAAAAAAATGTGTAACTCTTGCCTTCCAGGCTGGAGCATTTTTGGCTGTTGGGTAGGGGAAGAGAGGGCAGCTGGCAATGCCTTAGAGATAGAGCCTGAGCAGGAAAAGAAGTGGCCATGGAGGGGGCATGAGGGAGAGGGAAGGGTCTGGGAGCCCCTGAGGGTCAGGGAGGGGGAATAATGATCTCCATGGACTTCCCGAAGAGACTCAGTCATATATGGGACGAGTAGCAGTGTCCTGGTGGGTGGGAGGGTAGAGAGGCAAGAGACAGAGGGCTGGGTCTCATGGGTGAGCAGCCTTAGAGGGGCACTGAGTAGGGGAGAGAATTGTTACTTGAGGCTCTGCTGAAGGCCCCTCTGTGTTTCTCCTCAGGCTGGTGAGACAGCAGGTAAAGTCCCAGAGGTGGGAGCCTTGGGTGCTGCTGAGAAGAAGGTGAGGATGCTGGAGCAGCAGCGCACAGAGGTAGGTGGCTGGAGGGAGTGGTGGTGGTCGGGGAAGACCCTTCCTCACTCCTGGGACCAGCAGGACAAAGACCCTCCCTGGCCCTCTGGCTCCGGCTAGGCCCAGGTCTCTGTGATGCGTTGCCATGGTGACTACTGAACCATCTGCCCATGGGTGAGAGATGCTGCTTTTCCCTGGCTCTTGTCTCCTGATCAGTTCCCCTGCCCACAGGAGTCACTCTGAGGAGGTTGCATTTGGGGTATGGCCTAAAATTGCTGCGGGGGCTAGTTTAGGAAGGCTCCCATGGTAAACCCTGGATGGTGGAGAGAGGTTGTGATAAGAGGCAAGTTTTAGCATCAGGAATGGGGAGTCTGCGGTTCATCTGTCACCACGCAGCTGGTTCAGGGAGGAACTGTCACAGAAGGAGAGATCCCATACCTGCTTGCAGCACTGCTTCTAACCAGTTGAGAGTCTCCAGAAGTTGAGGCTCTTTCCTTGTGTCTCGTGCATAGGCTTCCTCCGTCCCCCACCCCCGGTATTTCTGGACTCTATTCTCTGAGCCCCTCCTCTCCACACAGCCCCGTCCTTGTCCCAGTCCCTGGGCCTTTCTGCCCTCCCTGGTCCTCCCGCACATCTGAAAGTCATGTTCTCTTGGTCTTTTGTTTATATGCATATTCATTTTCGTTTTCTTTTTGTATTACTGTAAGGTTTTGTTTTTTTTTTTTCTGATTACAGAAGTTATATAATGTTCATTATAAAGAGATCGAGAATCTCACCTCCTGGAGATGACCACAGTTGATAACAGTTCATTGCATATTCCTCAATTTTGTCTGTGTACTTACTAACGTATGATGTTTGTAAAAATATCATACATACCACACTGCAGATTGCTTTTTTCTTTCTTTCCTTAAAATTAACTGTATCTTTGAGGGTATTTATTTATATGTAAAACATTCCCTGTGTTTCTTGAATTCTGAGTACTGTTTATCATATTTTAATGTTTTTGAACTTGGGATGCCCTTTCCATTGTTAATTTAATGATGTTAGGTTGTTTTTCTTCCTCGAATTATTATTGTTATATCAAGATTATGGCAAATAATTAGTATCATCTCAGAACGGGGGCAATGTATTAGGCACCGGAATTTCTGAAGAGCTGTGCAGTGCTGCATTTTCTGTTTATTCTGTCATTTCCTTAACCTGTTTCTGATGCTCAGGTTGGCCTCTAGATTTTTTTGCAATATAAACATTGTTGAGATGATCAACAGCACACGCAGTTTTTACACACTTGTACAAGTGCGTCTTTTGGTTACATTTTTCAGAGTGGAATTATTTGGTTAGAGAGAACGAGAATTTGAAATTTAAATACAGAGTCCCAAATTGCCCTCCACATGGGTGTGTGTTCCATAATTCTACAGTAAAAATTATATACTCTTTCTGTGTCTTGGTGTTAGTCTTGCCTTCCCGGCAAGGGTAAAATGTGGCGGTTGATAAAGGTGATTTGCTCTGAGGAACGGTTTTGAGAAGCGCAGGATCGAGGCAGTGTGTGTAGCTGCCGTCCACGCACGCTGCACACGCCTGCGAAGCTGGTGTTGGAGGAGTTGGCTCTCTTTGGTCGTTCTCTGCTTATCTCCTGCCCACCCCAATCTCTCCCCCGCAGCTACTGGAAGTGAACAAGCAATGGGACCAGCATTTCCGGTCCATGAAGCAGCAGTATGAGCAGAAGGTACCGTGGGGGTGATGGGAACTCAAGGCTGGGGCCCTGCTTCACAGCTGGGCTCTCCGGGCAGCATGCTGCTTCCCTCGCAGCAGCCTTGAACCTCGGACGTTCACCCCGGCCCTCACACACTCCCTTTCTCTGCCTCTGAACTCAGATCACTGAGCTGCGCCAGAAGCTGGCGGACCTGCAGAAGCAGGTGACTGACCTGGAGGCCGAGCGGGAGCAGAAGCAGCGCGACTTTGACCGCAAGCTCCTCCTGGCCAAGTCCAAGATAGAAATGGAGGAGGCAAGTGTGACTCTTGGTCCCACAGGTCCAGCGCCGGGGGGCCAGCCCTCTCCTCCCCAGCAGTCTGGAGCCAGGGGAGTAAACCGTGAGGGGTGGGACTCAGGAGACACGGGTTCCATCTCTGACTCCAGTACACAAGGGCTGTGTGGCCGGAGGCAAAAGCACTTTCCTTCCCCGTGCCTCAGTTTCCCATCTGAAAATTGAGACTGGATTAGTTATTCTTTTCATTTTTTTTCTTGTTTTTATACCGAAGAGCTTTGGTTCAGTTAAAATCTTATGATCTAGGGAACTGCACAGGGAAGCACAGAATGTAAAAGAGATTCCGCGGGCCTGCTCTAGTACACTTGATGGGCTGGGTGCTGCTGAATGTTTACAGTGGTGATGGCTGTTTGTGGGCGAGGGGCTCCAGCATTAGACAGATCTTCCTTCAGTCCTTCATCTGGTCGCCGTTCAACAGATCATGCCCTGGGCACTGTGCTGGGCACACAGACTCAGCAGTGAACAGTCAACCCCGCCCTCAGGGGAAGAGACGTGGGACATCTAATTACAGAAGCAAATGAGTAGACGTGTGTTAAGTACGACACAGGAGAAGTTACAGGGATGAGGGCGAGAGCATAAAGGGGGCCTGGATTCGTTCTGGGGGCGCCCAGGAACAGGTCCCCTGAAGAAGTAGCATATGATCTGTCGTGTGTGTGACTGACACTGGCCAAGGCCCTTCAGGATCCTGGAGCAGCTTAAAGAGGAAAGGCCATTTGACCCCCAGGCTCTCGGGAGATTTTATTTCTGTCACCATGCCTTCTCCTTCATGACAACTGCGTGCAGGCTGCTTTTGCCTGGCTTAGAAATGGCCATTTCCAGCAGAGTTCCTTCCCATCAGTATGCGACACCCAGGGGCCTTCTCCGAGCGGTCAGCCTGCCTTGGCGACCGCCCCGTACCTTGGAGATGTGTGTTAGGGAGGACACTGCCTGTCTTTTCTGGTGAGTGCAGTCACAGCTTGGGATTGTCAGCCAGACCCTGGCTCACGTTAGTGGGTGGGATAAGTTCCTGGCATCTGACACTCTTCCCTGTCAGCTGGGGGAAAGGCGGGATGTTTCAAGACAAAAGCGTGGCCCTATGGATAGGGACACATGGCCATAGAGGCCGTGCTGACCCGGGAGCCTCTTAAGCGGGGAGTCTGCAACAACTCCCACAAGATCCAACCAAGGCTGCCCTTGGCCATCTTTGGCTGAAAGCAGCTCACCAGCTAGTTTATAGGATATTGACATGTTCACATGATACAGATACGGTGAGAGTTTCCCTGGACCGTCTCCCCTCACCACCCCCACCCCCCCCAATTCCAGGCTCTTCCCAGTGGTAACCATGGTTACCATTTTGGTGTATCTTTCCAGGCCTCTTATCACAAATAAACACACAGAAATAGACAGTTTAATATGGGTGTGCCTGGCCTTTCCTCTGCACTGTGCTGCCCTCTTCTATTTTAAACACTCCCTTTGACTTGCAAGGGGACAGAGAACACCAGAATTAGGAGACCTGGGTTCTAGTCTAGCCCCAGCTCACAGCGTGGCCTTGGGTAAGTCACCTCCCCCTCTCTGGATAGTCATTTCCTGTCGTGTAAAGGGCCTAGGACTTGATGCTCTCTGAGGGCCATTCCAGGTGTGGCTCTTTGCGATGAAGAACCTGGATTGTTCCATAGTAGGTATGGAAGCAGTGCTTCCACCTTGAAGCCTTCCCTGGTTTCTTTTCAGCTGTAGTATTCTTTCTTTTAACCTCACAGTAGTACTTTGTTTCTCCGTGGAGGAACCCTTTCTGCCTTGTGCTGCATTTATTTCTATGAGGGTCTTACCTCCTCTGGGCTCAGAGACTGTAAGAGCTGAAAGCTCCTTTGGAGACTTTCGGTGGCTTATCACTTTCTGTGCATCATAGAAGACCCCTGTGCGAATCTGGTGAAAACTGTGGCTTTTCTCTCTAGAAAGTTGCACAGTCAAAATTGTGTGCTTGGGGGCTTCCCTGGTGGCGCAGTGGTTGAGAGTCCGCCTGCCGATGCAGGGGACACGGGTTCGTGCCCCGGTCCGGGAAGAGACCACATGCCTTGGAGCGGCTGGGACCGTGAGCCATGGCCGCTGAGCCTGCGCGTCCGGAGCCTGTGCTCCGCAACGGGAGAGGCCACAACAGTGAGAGGCCCGCCTACC